TTCCTAGATTTTCAAACACTAAAGATCATCTATTCATAGTCTCTCCTCCATACTTTTCGAAATTCCCAATCTTCAAGCCAACTTTTTCGAAAAATTCCAATTCTTTGTTGATATGTCGACTTCTAGGGACAGAGGCAAGCGCCTCAAACAGACCGTTCAACGAGCTCCGCCTTCATCATCTGAAGACAACACGGACTTCGAAATCGAGGAAACACCGGTGGACCCCCTTGCTAAGGTACCCATTCTCATAGGTAAAAACGTCGACCTCGTCCCTTTTACTTATGATGCACCCCCTTTTATAATTGAAGAATTCATTACGAATATGGGTTGGACCTCAATTTGCACAATTCACGAAAATGCATACCCAAACCTTATTCGCACTTTTTATAACGAGGTGATTATTACCCCTTGTTCGGGAGACATTTCATGCATTATAAAAAATGTTCGAGTCACGATTTCAAAACCACTCATTCGCACCATTCTTGAGTTAGAACCTTGTGACATTCAAAAATTTATGCATAAAACTCACCCTATCGTGGAGGGATAGAACCCCACCGACGCATGTCGTCGTGTAACGGGTAAGAATTTTGAAAATGTAACCAAAATTTCAGCGAACCAACTCATTCTCCCATTCAAAGTTTTACAAAATATCATCGCCAATGTTATTTTACCGCGAAAAGGGCATAGGGATGAAGTAAACTATTTTGATCTTTTTCTTCTCAACTCCTTCCTCGTCGGTAGGCGAGTTGATTTCTCAACTATTGCTTTGGGTCTTATAAAACTCGTTCATTCCTCACTCATATCCGAGGCACTTCCCTATGGCATGCTACTTACTAAAATCTTTCAAAACTTCGATGTTCCACTTCACGATGAAGCTTTCATCAAACCTCAACCCTTCAACATTATTAGTTCCAACACTCTTAAAAGAATGAAAATCGTCAAAAAGGACGGACAATGGGTGTTTGAAACAAAGGGGTTCGACCAAGCTTCAGGGCCTTCTACCCTACCGTTTACGGACTAGGATGTTGACGACGACGACAACGAGGGTGCCCCTCTTACCGGTGCCTCGGGATCGAGAGCGACTCGACCTACTAGACAGGGTCTCGATGAAGTGATGCTTACACTTCTAAACGGTAGGATCGACTCTCTTACTATGATCGTTGACGGGATGAGCGGTGAGCTTCATCACATACGAGCTCAGTAGGAGACAATCCTTGCACGACATGCCACTATGCAGGAGCAGATGACCTCCTTCTTTACCGACTTCCGTTCTCGATTTCCACACTCTCCTCCTCTGGCTCAATAGATTTCCTTTTTTATGTAGTTAAATTAATTTTAAACCTATGGTTGAACTTTTGATTATGTACTAAACCTTTATTATATCTATGAAAT